AATAATAATAATAATAATAATAATAATAATAATAATAAATGTCTGAGAAAGAAGGTCTTAAAAATATTCTCAACTGTATACAGCTTGTATGAAAAAACACAGAAACCAAAATAGCACGTGTCAATAATTCCTCTTGTTTTAGTTCTTCTTTTATGTTGCATTTTAACAAACAAAAAAGTGACAAAATTAAAGGTCTTRAATTTGAACAAAAATACATTGTTTTTGTTTTAATGAGTCCTGATTCCTGGAATTTTCTCCATTTTAACTTCAAATGTGAAACTTGTTTTGTATCTGTAACAATTGCACCTTTAAAACCTGTCGAATACTTTTAATCATGTCTAAAACCTGCAAAACTCTTTTGTTGTTGTTGTTGTTGTTGTTGTTGTTGTTGTTGTTGTTGTTGTTGTTGTTGTTGTTGTTGTTGTTATTGTTGTTTGTTACCATGAGCAAATAACAGCTTGATAATAACCAGTAATTGAGGCTACATATGACATTTTGCCTGATATAAAGGATCGTGCAGAYATTTGCTGGATTCCTCTTCAACCATTCAGAGAGCTAATAACTAAAACACACATGCAAACACAACAGAAGCTCAAATGTGTGTATTTTACACAAAGAAAATGAGAAAAATAAAAGAGTCATTATCAGAAGAGAGGAAACAAATATATAAGCTCATTGAAGCCAGCTGCAGGGACAATCACAAACATTTTATTTGAGGCAATCAAACCATCTTTTCAAATCAATCARTAGAGCATTTTCAATTCTGAGCATATTCCATCATATTCCACTGAAGCAGAGCCATTTAATCAGCAAGCCAAGATTAAGCATAAAATTATCATCTGAGCACAGCTGTTCAAACTCACTGTGACCTGGAGGAAAATATATCAAACACAAAAAACAGAAATAAAATAGAAGAGTTCATAAAGGATCTGTCTCTGAATGCACAAATACAGACATGCAAACAGCAACCAATAAAACAAGGAAACTTCAAACCACCCAGAACAGATTCCAGAGATCTTTTAGAGCCTCATCACCTGAAAACTCCCTGCAAAACATCATCTCTCCACAATTCTTTCAGGCACATAAACATGAATAAGTGAAAGAGCTTTCACCTCTTGCTGTGTGTTTGTGTGTCTGTTAGCAAAGTATCTCAGGCAGCAGTGGAACATTTACAACTAGGCTATATACAACTGATTAACGTTTAGAGCCAGCCCCCATTAAGATGGACGCCACAGCTAGAAGACCTTATAGATTTATGTTTATAGCTCAGTCGATAGCAACAATCTGTCATGCTGTCAATCTGTTTATGCTTTTGGACACAGAAGTCTTTTTCTAAACAAGGACTGGATGTGACGCTGCTCCTTTGTGTTACGTCTCTGGGTGACATGCGAGCTGCAGACAGATGTAAACAAAGTTGTTGTTCTGCAGACGTCAGCGCAGCAAACAAACTCTGTGCTGTACCTTTGCATCCTGCTGCAACCCCGGCCTTCCTGTTGAACCGTGTCCTGACGTCCTGAACGTTCTGGTCTGACAGAACTCTGTCTCTGCTGCCGTCTGAAAACTTTTCCACAGAACAAAAAAGTGAGAAATGAAAATGTGTTTCTTTTAAACAACCCCTCTAAGAACAGGGCCTACAAAACACATCAGATTTGGGGGCAAACACAACAGAAAAGAAGGATTTGTGTCTGTTATTACGCCTTTATTTTCACCTCATTTTTTTTTTTTTTATTTTAGCTGAGGAATTTCTCTCAGGGCAAAAATCTACACAAGAGGTTACACAACATCAAATTCTCAAACCACTGAGATCTGAYACTACAGAATTAGCAACAAAATAATTTAAGCTGTCACATCTAAAAGATTATCAAGAGAAGACAGTTACAAAAAAACTGAAAAAAAAATACCATTTTCTGTTTATGTTCATATTTTCCAGTTGCGTAAACTGACCTTGGACTCATTGCAATTACACAATACTCAAGTTGTGACACACACACACACACACACACACACACACACACACACACACACACACACA